TGAGGAGCTGCTTCAGCTAATAGGAAACTTCAGCAGCTCTCCCATTAAAAAAAAAAAAAAAAAAGGCTTTGCAATAGAAAAAGCAAATTTCTGTAAAACTGGTCTACCAAATAAAGAAATGCCTTCTCTTAAGTCTAGGGCAAATCCATCAGTTCAGTTAGAAAGCATGAGAAATGCTTTTGGGCAATGAACTATTACAGACATATTGAAAAAACTTAAACCTATGGCCTCTCAGAAGCTGCCTTTCCCATACAGTCCAGATTCCATCACTGCCCCATCAAAAGGGAGTCCCACTCCATATGAAGGTCAGCAAAGAGAGATGCATTTACATGGTCCAGGTGATCCAAATCAGACAGTCCTTTGTTTTAAGAAACAATTACTTGGGGTGTTCCATATACACCACAGATGTATATATTCTATAATATCTCCCAGACATGACCGACTACATTTTCCCATATGATTCTCAAATCTGTCTGGGACTACTTTTACTTCTCTCCACCTGAATGAATAAATTGGAAATTGTAGCAAGCAGCTACAATTTTTTGCTTCTGAAGCATCAAAAATTACAAAAGTGGGAGCATATGACAGGAAAACACACTTCCCCCATGTATATAAAAGAAATCTTAAAAAATCCTCTCTGTGAAGTTAGGAATCAATGATTATGTTAGTCTTACTAACAAGTGCTGTCATTGCAAAAATGGGGAGTCCCTTCACTCTGAAATCACAAGAAAATGTACTTTTTGAGCTAAAACACATGATCAGAGTCATCTCGTGGACATTGACTAAACCCATGTTTACAAAGCAAACTCACCATTTCCCTGATGGGAGATGACTGTTAGCTTTTAGGAAAAAATCTATGGACTCTGTTATTTAGGTCAGCATATGCTGGTAAATTCCCAATCGTAAATAAATATCTTTCTTTGGAGGTGTTTCACTTGGGGAAATTCTCACACTGCTGATACAAGGCATATAGATTTTCTCTACATTTGGAAGTCCAATCTGAATTTCTGGCCACTCATAAAGTCTCTCATGTTACTTCTCATGCACAGAATTTGCTCTACACAAAGGAAATGCCTTTCCTCTGCTTTTGAAAGTCCAAGAACAATTCACTTCCTCATTGTCACTGAAGGCTGACAGAGCTTTGAACGGACCCAGAATGTAGTTAACCTCTTAACACACGAGATTCTGAAACCTATTGAATACTTAGTGCTTTTGAGGTAAAACCCCAGTTGAACAGTTTGGCTGAGGGTGTGCCAACTGAGATTAATTCTCACATCTAAACTAGTAACTCTAAAACAGGATTTACAGTAAGAGCAGTTGGTAGCAGATCCCTCATACAATTCTGTTCTCTTTAACAAAATCAAAACAGTCTGTTCCTGAAAGAGATGTTAACCGTGTGGCAGCCGTTATGGGCCTGACACAGAAGCAGCCCAAGAGGCTCAACAGACTGTGTTGTTGTCTGTCAGACTAGAAAATTGTGAACATAAAAAGCCAGCCAGAAGCATTCACCAAGTACTGCAGAAACTGACATTTCTTGGCTATTTCACTATATTTAGATGATTTGGGGGAAATGACAAAAATTACAGAGGAAAAGATTGACAAGCTTCATGCTCTCTGATTCATGACTAAAGATTACCTTCAAATGGTCACTTTTTATTCACTTAGCCCTCCCCATATAATTCCATCACTAGGAGCTGCTGACATGAGAAATTTCCATCTTGAGAGAAAACAGGGTCAGCAGTTTTCCCATTTTGTCAAGGAATGATATAGTCACTCATTCATGTATGCACCAAGTACATGGAAATTAAACACAATTCAAAATAGCTTCACTGGTTTTAAAGAGTGTATGGCTGGCTTAATAAATGGAAACATAGGTAACAAAATGCATTATTGGACATATAAAGAAATGAGATGTCCACATATTGGACATAAAAGAAACGAGAACAGTTTGCAATTAAATTTTTTTTCCATTCAGATTATACAAACTGCTTATATTTTGGGAGGAAGTAAGAACTTCCAATGAAACTAGGATTCACTGGGAAAGGAATACAGAATGCTAAAGTTCTGGAAGACTGGCAAGTCTGCTGAACAGCAGCTTGCTCTGTCTAAGAAAGTTTTACTGACTGCATTACATGTTGAAACTGTTCAAGGAACAGAGGAGAGAGGAATAAGACTTTAATTGAGTATTTGCTAGCTGCATTCCTTGACCCTTCCCATCTACTCCCAGAGGACATAGCTTTGTGCTAAATGCTTACTTCATACTTAAAGTTAGAATAGCTGATCATCTCATCAGATAGGAACATAGAAAGGAAAACAACAGTAGTCTGTGCTTGATTTCACATGAGGCATTATCTTTAGCCATTTATTTGCTAACCAGTTGCTGACTCATGGATGCTAAACTGCTGGCTGAAGCAACCAGCTCCAAAACCAGATTCTGCTTTAGAGTCTCCTGCTGTGGTGTGCACTGATATTTTGGTAGCATAGCACTTATGCCAGCCTAAAGATCAAGTTAGAAGTTACAATGATTTGGCTTGGACTACCTAAACCCAGCCACTGCTCTGTGCATTGAGGCAGTTTTGGAAAGCAAAAGACAGAATCCGTCCCCCTGCAGTGCTAGCTATCCATGCAGTGCTTTACGTTTACAGCCCTCAACCTAAATCCAGGACCATTCCAACAGCAGTAGTTCAGTTACATGAAGTCTGCTACACATGGATGGTAACTCTCTGGAAGCAGGGACCACACTGCATGGTAAATAACCATGTGTCTAGGTGTTAAAGAACAGCAAACACTAGATTCTATTCTAAAGAGTCTGCAGACAAACAAGCATGATAACAGAAAAGTGTGAGGAAACATACATCCACAAGCTTACCATACAACTGAGAAACTGAGGTACCAGAATGTAAGACACAATGCCAAATCCCACAAGAAACTGTGACAAAGTGCAGGATGGAAAAGTATTTGGAAAAATCCAGCCTGTTTCTATGCTCTTCCTGGGACAGCTTCTCAACCTCTGTGAGAAACAAGGCAGTGAGGTCAATGGGCCTTTGACTTGGCTTACTACTGCTGTACTTATTTGCCTCAGTTTAGCCACAAGTCTAGTCTGAGCCTGCATCAAAATCCACTGAAATCACTTTGCTCTCCAAAGAAGAAATAATGTTGGTCTTCCCCTTACTTCTTGCTGGGGCCTTGTTAAAATTCTCTGTACCATGCACTAGAGGGTCAGTAACACTGGGTTGTGCAGCTGTCTCAAATGAAGCTGTACATAGCTATGCCTGCAGTTCTATGGGGCCCTGAGGCTTGCTGCAGTATCTACAGATATCAGAAGAATAAAAAACAAGTTACAAAAATTTTATCATCATCTCTTAGACTTTTTCGTGCATTTCACAGACAACAGCGCTGAAATTTTCCTCCAGACCAGGAGTTAAGTATGGCTAAGGCCAGTCTTCTGTGTGAATTAATGCCATATTTAATCCCCTTACAGGCAATAAAACCTGTTCTTAAAAATGTCCAGTGTTTTCTCCATAGCTCATTTTTCACACTGTTTCACCAGCCTTAATGGGAGAAAACTACCCTTACAGTTTAACCTTCAGGTTAACAAAAGGGGCTAAGGCAAGATTTGAACTTTCAGCCTCTTTGAACCCTCTGCAGTTCCAGCCCTTTACTTCTGACACTTCTATCACAGATATTAAAAAGAAGAAGAAAATGAGCACGCACACACACCAAAAAAAAAAAAAAAGCAGATGAAGCCTTGACCCAGACCATAAATAAGAATCCATACTTCCAGTACAGTCACTTGCCAGTATACCCTGGTAAAAGTCTTCCTGGAAATCTGTAGTTTCTTCTACTGTATTCAGACTAGTATAATGGAAAAAAAAAATCACCAAACCAGTTCAGCTCTGGCTTTCTAAATGGCAGATGTGATTTGGGGTTTTTTGGTTTGTTTTTTTTTTTTTACTGTCATTACTTGATTCAGTAATAAGCACCATCTTTCTATCTGATAGATGTTTAGGGGATTTTCCCCCCTCTCATTCCTTTGCACTGACAAGCTCTTATCACTTCTCCGCCAGGAAAAGAAGCAACTGAACGGCTCCTGGAAGACAGAAGTGCTGAACTCAAGCATGACCTCACAAGCACTGCTGTTGCATTAAAAGTGATTTCCCTTTAATGATCCTTTTCCTCCCTTCTAGATTCATCACACCTCTTACAGAATTATCTGATGTTAAGATGCAGCAAACGATTGAACTATTAAAAGTCTGAATGTTACTAACCATAAATATTACTATAGTCATCATCCTAGCATTGAACATTATATGAGCACTGTCTTAACAATGAGTCTTTCCTAGCGCAACCTCTGAAACATTTGGCGATGGTGTTGTGAACACTCTGAGGTCTTGGTTTAATTTAGTGAGACTGAGCTACTCCTTCCTGAACAGTAAAAAGAAGCAAAGTAATTAAAATAATTTAGAGATACAGAGCTGCTTGGGGCCTTGAGAGATTTCTTCTTTTTCCCAAGTACAATAAAGAATTGTTATTGATTGATGTGCATGAAACTGATTACTTAAATTTTCACAAAAAAATGGATATTCTACAATTCTTAATGACAGCTTTCTCCAGGGTTATGTAAACATTACCACTTACAAGGGTGGACTGTTTCACCCTTATGCTTAACCAGAATATAGATAGCTGAAAATTAAAGTATTTCGTATCCTGTCCTTAATGTCAAGAACTTCCCTCTTCCCTCAAGAGATGCAGACATGCATATATACCTAAAAATATGTGTGTGCATGTACATAGTTACGTGTGCATGTGCACATATTTACACACACTTCAAAGAAGAAAATCTTCCTTTACTTTATACATATGTATATATTTTTATGTTTCATGAAATATAAGCATTATACCATAAATGATGAGATAAACTATCAGGTATAACTACAAAAAACCCAGAAGTCATTCAAAAAAGAGGAACGTATATTCATACATACACTGTGTAATTACTGATGTTGCTGATGTCTTTAATGTATTCCCACATTGCTGAGGAGTTATGGTTGACAAGACAGAACTTCATTTTGTGCTGTGCAAACTCAGATCAAATAAATTCCTGCCATCCTGCTCAGACCTGTTTGATAAACATCAGCTGTAGCAATGTGTAATCAACTTTCAGTTTATCAAGGTAAACAGTAATTATTAATATTCAGACGTGCTTACCATGTAGAAAACAAAAATAAGCTGTTGTCTTTTCAAGTTTTCCTGGGTCTCAGCATCTCCATCACGGCTAGGACTACTGGTTAATTTATTTGCCGCAGTTTCCTATACAAAGCAGGGTACAATTCAGCTCTCCTTTCCCTACCTCCTACCTTAGCTCATCATTCCTACTCCACAGCAAAACCCTCCATCACTTCAAGTACTCTCTGTAAAACTCTCTGAGGGGCTGGGCTTCATATCACGTGAGAAAAATGTTTTGGATAAAAATTTTTTCTTTTTTTTTTCTCTAATCAGATCACTTCAGTAATCTGCTACCTCAGTCCCCATGAGAGGACAGGGGAAAATGCCCAGGAGAAGGGAACAGCAAGATGCTGACAGAAACATATACCGTGGAAATCACAGCACAGATGCTGACTACTGATCATTAAATGTGGAGCCTTTCTACACAACTATACTTTCCAAGGCAGCAGAGAGGCTAGCGGGACAAAAAGAAAAAAAAAACCAAAAAACACACCCACAAAACTCTTTAAAAGAAACCTCTCCAAGGAGAGGAGGAAAAACAATTAGAAGGGATTATTATTTTTCCAGCCACATCCCTGACTTCTTTTTGAACAAAGACAGAGGAGAAGGACGGCCTGCTGTGCAGAGCCAGCACAGGCCTGTAAACCCTGGGAAAGATCATGTTGCCACGTAACCCTGCTGTGTGACACAAGCGCATGATCTGCGCCAGCTGCTGCTACTGGAGGTGAGGTGAAGGAGTTCAAAGCTGAACTCTTCCAAAATCCACCTGTTCTCTGAAGGAGTCAGTATTTAAGACCTGATTTCGAGGTGTAAGCAACGCTGGCTTCTCATCCCGCCGGTGGGAGGAACAAGCAGAATCTTACCATGCGAGAGGATGAACTCGAGGATGAACTCTTTTAATAATATAAGAGACTTTGTTGCACTATGTTTCATTTCTGCGTGCCTTCAGGTTGTAAGGCCGTTGAGCAAGAAACTGCCCCTTTTCCAGCATAAATCCCATCCATAAATCATATTTACAGGTGTTAAATATTGGGGATTTATTCAGTGAGTTTTTTCACTGCACAGATATTAGCACATTGTTTAAAGGTGTGCATTGTTTACAATAATTAAATTTAATGATTCAAACAAACTGCTAGTTGCAGCCAAGAATTTACAAACATATTCAGACGCTAAGATCTCACTGACTTGATAGTTCTAGCTCAAGGTTCTGCCCTTTACCTGCAACAATCCAACCTCGACCAGGGCTGGATTAAAGCACACTTAACATCTCCTGCTGAAAATGCCAGCATATTTGGATTATGGGGTTATATATTGGCCTAACCTCTAATTTGAAGAAATGAAGTCACTTGTGGTTACTTACAATACGGAGCCAAAACTGTGGGGCTCATACAAGCCAAACGAAAAAAATAAATACTTATTTGGTCTGAAAACCGTCTGGAAGAGCAATACTTTCCCCAAGACGGGCTCCCTCAATGTCCTGCTGGGACGCTGGGGCAGGGATGTGGGCATTCCCAGCCTGTGTGCGAGGGCAGGCGCTGCCACGCGTGCCCGTGTGGGTGAGGCCACGGCGGGGGCTCCTGGGGCAGCCGCCTCCCACAGCCGGCCTTCACGGCCTGCGGGCCACGGCCTGCGCGCCGCTCTGCGCAGGGACACGGAGCTCTTCCGGACACAGCCACGCGGCACCGCGCCGGCCCGGGAGCGGAGCGAAGCCTGCGGGACGCAATGGGCAAGCCCCTGGCCGGGGGGAGAGGAATAAGGAAGGAAGAAATGACATCCCGGCTCCCGAAAATA